AGGGAAAGGGGACACATACATACATATATAGGCTTGTGAAACACATACAGTTACACACATAAATACATACATATCCATCCATCCATATACATATACATAACCATAAAAACTAATAAGGATAACCAGAATATCAAACAATATATAAAATAATTTCAAAGTATAAACATTTAAATCACCAATTCCACTCCAAAGAATGAGAGCCAGCACCCCACCTGGTCGAGATGTGGCAGGTCCTCGACGAAGCGGCTGTGTAGAGTGCGCTCGTAGGAATCTGCAGTGAAGGAGTCATACGCATGCAGGTCCAGGATCTTGTCCAGGTCGACTCTGTGGATGGAGGGAAGGCAGGGAGGTAAGAGGAGGGGAGGGAGGGATAGGTGAGATTAGGGGAGGCAGGGGTTGGTGAGAGGAGGGGAGGAGAGTATGACAGGCGGGAAAGGAGGGGTGTGAGAGTGGGTGAATGAAATGGATGGATAGATAGATTGGATAAACAGGAGAAAATGAAAACAAAATTATTAAAAAGGAGGAAAAATAGAATATTCTGTTGATTCTTTTCTCTTCCTTTTCCCCATATTTAACATTTCCCTAAACTCCCCATTCTCCCCTGTTCCCCTCTTTCTCTCTCCTCTTCCAGGATATTTCTCCCTTTCTCTTTCTTTATTTCCCCTCCCTCCCACCCTTTCCTCCCCCTCTCCCTTTTTCCCTCCCTGCCCCCTTCTACCTTTCCTCTCCTCTCTCCTTCCCTTCCTTCCCCTTTCCCTCTTCTCCCCTCTCCATTTTTCCCCTCCCTCTCCCTCTCCCCTTTTTCCCCCTCCCTCTAAGCCTTCTCTCGCTCATCCTCTCCCACCCCCCCCCCTCCCTCCCTCCCACCTACCCTTCCTCTCTCTCCCCTCCCACCTACCCTTCCTCTCTCTCTCCTCCTACCCTTCTTCTCCCTCCCTCCTCTCTTTCCTCCACCTCCCTCTTGTCTTCCCCTCCCCTTTCCCCTCTCCCTCCTTCCTCCTCCTCCCTCTTGTCTTCCTCTTCCCTCTCCCTCCCCTCTCCCCCTCCCTTTTTTCCCCTCCTCCCCCTCCCTTTTTCCCTCTCTCCCTCTCCCTCTCCCTTTATCCCCTCCCCCTGCCCCGTCTCCAGTTCCTTTCTTCCGGTAGAAGCGCAAATTCGATCAGATCCGAAGTCACTGTCAATCCATCGGGTCAGTCGCCGCTCGTAACCCCTGAGTCAGTCGGAACCAATGCGGTGAGTCACTTGGGGAATCACTCGTGGGTATCGGGTGTTGGGTGAGTCACTCGAGGGTATCGGGTGTTGGGTGAGTCACTTGGGGAGTCACTCGTGGTATCGGTGTTGGGTGAGTCACTTGGGGAGTCACTCGTGGTATCGTGGGTATCGGGTGTGGGTGAGTCAGGTCATGGGTGTTGGGTGAGTCACTCGTGGGTATCGGGTGTTGGGTGAGTCACTCGTGGTAGGGTGAGTCACTCGGGTGGGGTGAGTGGTATCGGGTGTTGGGTGAGTCACTTGGGGAGTCATCACTCGTTGGGTGAGTACTCGTGGGTATCGGGTGTTGGGTGAGTCACTCGTGGTATCGGTGTTGGGTGAGTCACTTGGGGAGTCACTGGGTATCGGTGTTGGTGAGTCACTTGGGGAGTCACTCTGGTATCGTCACTTGGGGAGTCACTCGTGGGTATCGGGTGTTGGGTGAGTCACTTGGGGAGTCACTCGCGGGTATCGGGTGTTGGATGAGTCACTCGGTATCGGTGTTGGGTGAGTCACTCGCGGGTATCGGGTGTTGGTGAGTCACTTGGGGAGTCACTCGTGGGTATCGGGTGTTGGGTGAGTCACTCGTGGGTATCGGGTGTTGGGTGAGTCACTCGTGGGTATCGGGTGTTGGGTGAGTCACTTGGAGTCACTCGTGGGTATCGGGTGTTGAGTCACTTGGGGAGTCACTCGTGGGTATCGGGTGTTGGGTGAGTCACTTGGGGAGTCACTCGTGGGTATCGGGTGTTGGATGAGTCACTCGCGGGTATCGGGTGTTGGGTGAGTCACTCGGGGGTATCGGGGTGTTGGGGTGAGTCACTTGGGGAGTCACTCGTGGGTATCGGGTGTTGGCGAGTCACTTGGGGAGTCACTCGGGTATCGGGTGTTGGGTGAGTCACATCTTGGGTGAGTCACTCGTGGTATCGGGTGTTTGGGTGAGTGAGTCACTCGTGGGTATCGGGTGTTGGGTGAGTCACTCGTGGGTATCGGGTGTTGGGTGAGTCACTTGGGGAGTCACTCGTGGGTATCGGGGTGTTGGGTGAGTCACTCTCACTCGTGGGTATCGGGTGTTGGGGGCGAGTCACTCGTGGGTATCGGGTGTTGGGGGTCACTTGGGGAGTCACTCGTGGGTATCGGGTGAGTCACTTGGGGAGTCTCCTGTGGGTATCGGGTGTTGTGGTGAGTCACTTGGGGAGTCACTCGTGGTTATCGGGTGTTTGGGTGGGGAGTCACTCGTGGGTATCGGGTGTTGGGTGAGTCACTTGGGGAGTCACTCGTGGGTATCGGGTGTTGGGGTGAGTGGGTAGGGGGTAAGTCACTCGTGGGTATCGCCTTGTTGGGCGAGTCCACTTGGGGAGTCACTCGTGGGTATCGGGTGTTGGGTGAGTCACTTGGGGAGTCACTCGTGGGTATCGGGTGTTGGGTGAGTCACTCGTGGGTATCGGGTTTTGGCGAGTCACTTGGGGAGTACGTGGGTATCGGGGTGTTGGGTGAGTCACTCGGGGTATCGGGTGTTGGGTGAGTCACTCGTGGGTATCGGGTGTTGGTGAGTCACTTGGGGAGTCATCGTGGGTATCGGGTGTTGGGTGAGTCACTCGTGGGTATCGGGTGTTATCTTGGGGAGTCACTCGTGGGTATCGGGTGTTGAGGTGAGTCACTTGGGGTAGTCACTCGTGGGTATCGGGTGTTGGGTGAGTCACTCGTGGGTATCGGGTGTTGGGTGAGTCACTCGAGGGTATCGGGTGTTGGGTGAGTCACTCGTGGGTATCGGGTGTTGGGCGAGTCACTCGTCGGTGATGGGTTCACTTTCGGGTGTTTGGGTGAGTCACTCGAGGGTATCGGGTGTTGGGTGGGGAGTCACTCGTGGGTAATAGGGGATGATTCTGGTGAGTCACTCGTGGGTATCGGGTGTTGGGGTGAGTCACTGTGGGCGATGTTCACTCGTTGGCGTTCTGGGTAGTTGGCGAGTCACTCGTGGGTAGTCGTGTTGTTGCCGTGAGTCACTCGTGGGTCATTCATAGGGTGTTGGCAATGAGTCGAGTTGGGAGTCACTCGTGGGGTATCGGTGAATGTCATTCGAGTGTATCTTGGTGTTGGGGTTGAGTCTACTCGTGAGGTATCGGTGTTTGGGTGAGTCCACTTTGTGGTATCGGTGTTGGTGATCACTCGTGGGGTACCGGGTGTTGGGGTGAGTCACTCGTGGGTATTCGGGTGTTGGGTGAGTCACTCGTAGGTATCGGGTGTTTTTCGGCAGAGGTCCACTCTATTGGGTATCGGTTGTTGGGCCGAGTCACTCGTGGAGTCACTCGTGGGTGAGTCGACTCGTCGGGTGATCAGGTGTTTGGGTGAGTCACTTTCGTGTGGTATCGGGTGTTGGGTGGGGTCACTTGGGGGAGTCACTCGTGGGTATCGGGTGTCTGGGCGAGGTCACTTGGGGAGTCGTGGGTATCGGGTGTTGCTCGTCACTGGGTATCGGGTGTGCTGGGTGAGTCACTCGTGGGTATGGTGTTGGGTGAGTCACTTCGTGGGTATCGGGTGAGAGTCACTCGTGGGTATGGGTGAAGTCACTCGTGGGTATCGGGTGTTGGGTGAGTCACTCTTTTTCGAGTGTTGGGTGTCACTCGTTATCGGGTGTTGGGTGAGTCACTCTGTATCGGGGTTATCGCTGGATTGGTGAGTCACTCGAGCGGTTATCGGTGTTGGGTGAGTCAACTGGGGAGTTACTCGTGGTATCGGGTGTTGGGCAGTCACTTGGGGAGTCACTCGTGGGTATCGGGTGTATGGCGAGTCACTTGGAGTCACTCGGGGTATCGGGGTGTTGGCGGTCACTTGCGCGAGTCACTCTGGGATCGGTGTTGGGTAGTCACTCGTGGGATATCGGTGTTGGGATTGAGTTCACTTGGGAGTCACTCGTGGGTCCACACTTCTCGCGAGGCTATGAGTCATTCCGAGTCACCTCTCCGGTGTATCGGGTGCTTGGGTGAGTCACCTCGTGAGGTTAAATTTTTTTTCCCGGCTTCTCTAACTTGGGTGAGTCACTCTGTGGGTACATCGGTGCTTGGCGTGAGTCACTCGTGTGGTATCGGATAAGTCACTCGTGGTTACCGGGGGTTGGTAAGTCCTTCGTGTAAGTACCGGGTTGGGTAGTCACTTGTGGTATTCGGTTGGGTGAGCCGTGAGTCACTCGTGGGTATTCCAGGTGTGTCACTTGTGGGGTATCGGGGTGTTTTTTTGGCGAGTCACTTCGTGCGGATTATCGAGGTTGTGGGCGAGTCACTCGTGGGTATCGGGTGTTGGGTTTGAGTCATCGTGGGGTATCAGGTGTTGGGCGTGAGTCACTCGTGGGTATCGGGTGTTGGGTGAGTCACTCGTGGGTTATGGGTGTTGGTGGTCACTCGTGGGATCGGCCGTGTTGGGTGAGTGAAGTCACTCGTGGGTATCGGGTGTTGGGCTGGGTCATTCCGTGGTCGGTGTGTTGTGAGTCACTCGGTATCGAGTGTGGTGCGTTCTTGGGTGAGTCACTCGTGGGTATCGGCGTGTGTTGGTGAGTCACTCGTGGGTATCGGGTGAATGTGGGTGAGTCACTCGGATTAATCGCTGGCGTTGGTATCGGGTGAGTCACTCTGGTTATGGTGTTGGAGTGAGTCACTCGTGGACTGGATGTTCGATGAGTCACTCAGGATATTGGGTGAGTCACTCGGTGGGTATGGTGCTGGTATCGGTGAGTCACTCAAGATTTGGGTGTTGGGTGAGTCAGGCAAATTTTGGGTTGTAGTTCAAGGTGGGAAGTCATCGTGAGTCACTTCAGGGCAAGGGTGTTTTGAGTCACTCGTGGGCAAGTCATTTGTCAGCATTTAGTGTTCCATCACTAGTCACAGGCCTCAAGTAGTGGACGAATTACTCATCGTGGGCGTCAGGTGTTGAGTGAGTCACCTGTAGACATCAGGTTTCGGTTGTAGTCTTTTAAACTCTTTTTGGAAATGACTCACACTCTGCGTTACTCCAGCTGAACTCATCCCACGAACCTTTCCGATAAGAAATAAGTTATAACTTCTCAATGTTAAATGGAGAGTCCCTTAATTGCTGTTATGTTCTATGTATACAGTATACCCTCTTGAGCGCATCATTGACTAGATTGCTGATGTCTATTTGAATCTTAATCTATTTGCTTCTACACTTCCTCGGAACATTAAGAATGACTTCTTCCCTCCCAACCTGTCCCCGCGGTGGTCACATGTCACAATTCGACACATCTCTTCCTAACGTTCTTCTCCGCCCTCTTCCTCCCTAACCTCCTATCCCTCCCTCCCTCCTATTATCCTCTAATCCCTCTCCCTTTCTCTCTCGCCTCCTCCCTTCCCTCCCCTCTCTCTCTCCTCCCATGATGAATCTTTCCTCTTGCTTCCTCCCTCCTAATTTCCCAACCCCTTCTCCTAACATCCTCCCTCCTCCACACCCTCCCTCCTCAACCCCTCCTCCCCCTACTTCCCTTCCCCTCCTACCCCTTCCCCCTCCGCTCCCTCCCTCCCCCGCCTTTCCCACCTTCTCCCCCCTCCCCCCTCCCCCCTCCGCCACCTCCTCCATCCCCGTTGGGAATGTTATGCAGATATAATTGTCTTATGGTGCGGTGAACGCCTCAATCACGCCCTTCGGATCGCTCTCTGCTTTTATCTTATTGCCCTTGAGAGAGGGAGATGGCACAGCGTAACGGCGGGCGATACAAGGGGCTGCACGGAGAGGAAGAGGGAAGGGGAGCGCGGGGGTGGCGCAAACGCAGCGGGAAGGAGGCAAGGGGGCTCACAGCGGAGGGCAAGGAGGCGTGGACGAGAGGTGGGGAAGAAATTCGAAATGGCGACCGACGGAGCAAAGTAGGGATAGAGTAGGAGAGGAGAGGACTGATTAGTAGGATGACGAGGCCGGAGGGGGAGAGGGGGAGTAGTGGGAGAGGGAGTGAGGTATGGAGGGTAGGGGGGAGAGAGAGAGAAGAGAGAGAGATAGGACGGAGATCGAGTACTGACATCATGGTGGATCGGGAACTGTCGAATAACATCCAGACCTTAAGGAATAAGATGAGAACATTAAAATCGATCGAGAGAGAGAGAGAAGATGACGATGGGAAACGATGACACGAAAGAGAGAGGAAAGAACGAGAGGACAGAGACAGAGAGAGGTAGAGGGATTGGGAAGGGAAAAAAAATAGAGAGAAGATGAGAGAGAGTATGAGAGAGAGAGAGAGAAGAAAGCCGAAGAGAGCAAGAGAGAGAATGAACGAGAACTGGAGAGAGAGGGATAAATGATCCGAGGGAGAGATGAGAGAAGAGAGAGAGAGGGGTAAGGGAGGGAGAGGGAGAGTGAGAGAGAGGAGAGTGATGAAGAGAAGGAATGGAGAGAGACGGACAGAGTAGGAACGGATGAGGAGAGAGATGAAGTGGAGAGGGAGAGGATATAGAAGCAAGGAAGAAAGAGAGAGAGCGGAAGGAAGGAGGAAGAGAGGGAGGAGGGAGGGAAGAAGGAGGAGAGAGAGAATGCGCACACGCGCACGCAATGTAGTGTATGTATGTGTGTGTGCGATTGCGTGTATTCGTACGCGGTATATGTATACATCTATTACACACGAAAAAAAAAACACACCACAAAAAAATCGTCATCAGCCAATCCCCTCAACACTCCCCGTTTACCCAGATCATCCAAACAAAGACAATGCCAAAGAGGAGATGATAACGAGGAAGAGGGAGAGGCCCCAACAAGACGACTGGCCGCCCCACCTGCATCGTTCCGTCTGGATCACTTCGGCCGAGCTGTTGATGGTTCTGCCGAGAGGGAATAAAAAGTAATTAGTGCAAATGGCAAGTAATTAGTGGAAATGGTAAGGGGGAATAATTATTTTTTTTAAAAAGGAGCATTGGCAACTTCTTGTAATTTATTTTTCAATTTTTTATTTCTTGCAATTTATTTTTTTTTTATTTTTATTTCTCTTTTGGTTGTTGTTGTTGTTGTTCCGAATGTCTCTCTTCCTTTCTTTACCGCCCTTCCTTTCTTCTCATCCTTTCTCTGTCCATTCCTCCTTTCGCACCCACTTACCCAGCTGAGTTCCAAAAGCCCCTGTTTCTCTCGACCTTTCTTCCTTTCCTCCCTTCTTCCTATCTCTTCCTTCTCCATCCCCCCCCCCGCCATCCTCCCTTCCCTTCCACACGACCCCCCCTCAAAAAAAAAAAAAAAAAAAAAAAAAATCATCACACCACATCGACTCTTATTTCTCTCCCTTTTTCCCATTTCCATCTTCTCTCCCCTTCCTCCTTTCCCTCCCCTTCCCCCTTTCTCTTCCCTCCTTCATTTCCTGCACCTATCTCCCTTCCCCTCCCTCCCTTTCCCCACTTACCTAACCCTATTTATATCTCCTCTTTTCCCCCCTATCTCCCCTTCATCCTTTCCCTACCTCCCCTCCCTTCCCATTCATTTCCTGCACCTAACCCCTCCCCTTCCCCTCCACCTATCTCCCTTTCCCCTCCCCCATTCCTCCACCTATCTCCCTCCCTTCCTCCTTTTCCTCCCCTTCCCCCTTTCTCTTCCCCCCTTCATTTCCTGCACCTAACCTCTCCCCCTCCCCCTCCTTCCCTCCCTTCCTCCTTTTCCCTCCCCTTCCCCCTTTCTCTTCCCTCCCTCTCTTTCCCCACCCCATCCCCCCACCTCCCAATCTCCCTCCCTTCCCCAATCCCCACCCTATCTCCCTTCCCTCTTTCCCCCCCCTATCTCCCTCTCCCTTCCCCTCCACCTTCTCCCTTTCCCCATCCCCATCGTATCCCACCTATCTCCCTTCCCCTCCCTCCCTCCCTCTCTTCCCTCCTCCATTTCCTCCACCTATCTCCCTCCCTTCCTCCCTCTCCCTTTCCCCACCTACCTCCCTTCCTCTCCCTTTCCCCACCTATCTCCCTTCCCCTCCCTCCCTCCTTTCCCTCTCTTCCCTCCTTCATTTCCCCTCCACCTATCTCTCTTCCCCCTCCCTCCCTTTCCCCACTTACCTAACCAGCTGTGTCACCACCTGTTTCTGCGCCGCGTCCACGAGGTCTATTTTGTTCAGGATAAGCAAGTCCGCCAACGCCACCTGTCTGTAGAGAGAGAGAGAAAAAGGATAGAGATTATACAATAAAAATAGAAGAAATAGAAAGAAATGGAAGAAAGAAAAAAAAAAGACAAAGGAAGGAAGGAAGGAAGGAAGAAGGAAAAAAGAAAGAAAATAAATAAATCTAATCCATACCAAATACCACCCAATAATAAGAAAAGCTTCGAACAGAAACCTTATTTGAACCGCACTTCGACTAAAACGTATCCACAAACCCTCGAAACTGTCCTGCCTTGCAACTCACCAAACCGAAAAAGCAGAAAGAAAAAATATAAAAGAGAGGAAAAATAAAGATAATAAAAACAGCGCAATCAAACCAAACCCTAACAAGCACCACCCAATTACAAAAAGATTCGAAGAGAGAAACAAACCCTAAGCCTTATTCGCACTGCACTTCGGCTAAATCGTACCCACAAACCCCGAAACTACCCTGCCCTGCAACTCACCAAACCGAAAAAAGAAATAAGACATAAAAAAGAAAAAATGAGGATAATAAAAAAACAGCGCAATCAAACCAAACCATAACAAGCACACCCAATTGCAAAAAGCTTCGAATACAAACAAACCCTAAGCCTTATTCGCACTGCACTTTGGCTGAAACGTATCCACAAAACCTTGATATTCACCTTACCTGCAACTCACCAAATCGAAAAAAAGGAAGAAGAAATATAAAAACGAGAGGACAAAATAAAGAAAATAAAAACTGCACAAACAAACCAAACCATAACAAACACCACCCAATTACGAAAAGCTTCGAACACAAACAAAACCTACACCTTATTCGCACTGCACTTCAGCTAAAACGTATCCACAAAACATCGCACTTCACCAAATCGAAAAAAAGGAAAAAGAAATATAAAAAACGAGAGGACAAAAAAATGAAAATAAAAACTGCACAAACAACCTAAACCATAACAAACACCACCCAATTACGAAAAGCTTCGAACACAAACAAAACCTACACCTTATTCGCACTGCACTTCAGCTAAAACGTATCCAAACAAAACCTAACATTATTCGCACTGCACTTCGGCTAAAGCGTATCCACAAAACCTCGAAACTCACCTTACAGCCTCGTTGACCACGCTCTCCGGTTTTTTCTCCGTGATATTCTGAAAGATGACGTCAGTATAATTATCGTCAGTGTGTGAGTGGATGTTTTATTCTTTTTGTCACTCACACTCTCTCTCTTATTCCTGTCTCTCTCTCTCCCTCTCTCGTGATTTATTCTGTCATTTTTCATGATTTATATCATTTTCATAATTTTCTTTATGTCGTATATTTGTTTGAATTCTTTATAATACTGCATCTCTTCTACGTTTCTCTCTGTCTCTCTCTCTCACTCTTCTCTTTCTCTCTCACTCACTCTCTTCTCTTTCACTCTATCTCTCGCTTTCTCACTCTTTCTCTCTCACTCACTCACTCACTCACTCTTCTCTCTCTCTCTCTCTCACACACACACCCTAACACTCACCCCCCCTCCTTCTTCCTTCTAAAGAGACAGAAGAGACAGAGAAGAGAAGAAACGAATATCAAACAAAATGAAATATTATGACAATGTAGCTACATGAGATGAAAAAAATTGATCACTAACCTTTTGCGCGTATTTGGAGTCCAAAACGGTTATGATACCTGAGGAAAAAATAATAAAAATGTTATGTTTCCACGGAGAAAAATTAAAAAGGAAGAATGAAAAAATTTATAAAACACACCATATATGTGTTTGTGTGTACGTATGCATAAGTAAATGTGTGTGTGTATGTATGTATATGTATATATATATATATATATATATATTATATATATATATATATATATATATATATATTAAATACACACACAATAATATATATATATATTAATACACACACACAATATATATATATATATATATATATATATATATATATATATATATTATATATATATATATATATATATATATATAACATCTACATCTGAAAAACAATAATACACAAACTTAACATAAACGAAAGCTTAATTAATATCACATCTCCCGCGCCCAAAACAAAAACGCTTTGCTCTCCTCATGGCAACAGCACCAACAGCGTCTCCGCCATGAAGGCATTTTTACGTAAACTCGAATTTCCTTCAATAACATGTACGAAGCTGTTGTTGGTCGTTTGGCTTCCTCTGCATCTTTTAATATCCGCGTAATTATTCATGTTTCTTTTTTCCTTCTTCATTTTTTTTTTTTTATTCATTTTTCATTTTTATCAATTTTTTATCTATTCATTTTCATTATCTATCCATTTCTCTTTCTATTTATTCGTTTTTTCTTTTTCATTTATCCATTTTTTTATCTATTCATTTTTTATTTACTTATTCATTTTTCACTTCATTTTTTTATTTATTCACTTTTCATTATTTATCCATTTCTCTATTTTTATTAATTTCTTATTCATTCTTTTAATTTTCTAATTTATTTTTACATACATTTATACCTGTGTTCGGATACACGAATCCCCTGCTTATGGCCGTATAAATTAAAGAAATTGGAACCTCAAAACCTTAAAAATTGTCATCTTCAAAAATACAATGTTCTTATCCTCCTCCTCCTCCTCTTGTTGTTCTTGTTCTTCTTCGTCTGCTTCTTCTTTCTGAGGCATTATTCCTTAATAGAGGATTTTGTGCTTCAATTTCTTTAACCATTTTTATACGACCGTTATTCCAACTTTCAAACCATGATGATTTTTTGTTTCGTCTTTTTCTTTTATTTATTATTATTATTAATATTGTTATCATGATCTTTTCTCTTTTTTCTCTTTCTCCCTTTCCCCCGCTCTCTTTCAACACAGCGATTCCGTCTCTCATGAAAACTTGAGAATGAGGAGGGGAGGGAAAGAGTGAAGGAGGGAAGCAGGGGGAAAGGAGAAAGAGAGAGAGAAGAGAAAGGGAAAGAGAAAGAGAAAGAGAGAGAGAGAGAGAGAGAGAGAGAGAGAGAGGAGAGAGAAGAGAGAGAGAGAGAGAGAGAGAGAGAGAGAGAGAGAGAAGAGAGAGGAGAGAGAGAGATTGGATGCCGTCAACCGAGCCACCTTCAAACACCACAATTATACGGCCGGTTTGTTAGAATTTTGCCAGGCCCGACCCAAAGAATACCCGTATACTTATGCATAAATAAAGAAATAAATGCATATTCATCAGTCTAGACATGCATACCAACCCGGCAAATAGATGGTTAAATGCATATCTATCAAATACATAGACAGATATGCCTTTATTTCTGCATCTGTATTTATAAAAAATCATTGGGACGGGCCTGGCACAATTTTAACAAACCGACTGATAGTCACTCTTGCTTGAAACTGTTCTCGGAGACAACTTTCCGGAGAGGTTTCATACGTAAAAAATCCGAAAGGGTTAGATCCAACTACATATATGGCATGGTTTTAAAAAGATCGTATCTAAAGATTCATAATGAGGTTTCCATGAAATGTTTACTCTTCCAAAGGCAATTTATTTTTTTCTTAAGAAAGAGAAACAGAGAGTGATAGACAGAGATACAGTACTCACACACATAACTCTATAGGAGCAGATACATACATACATGCGTGCGTGTGTATATATATATACATATATATATGAAGTATGTTTGTGTGTGTATATATATATATATACATATATATATGAAGTATGTTTGTGTTTGTATATATATATATATACACACATAATGTATATATATACATCCGAACCTTTCCAGAGGGTTAAACAGAGCACTCACAGTGGTCAGATTCACACTTGCCATATCAATAACCCTTCCAATGAGCCAGACACGGAGTCCACGCATAAACCACTCCTGAGAGTAGGATTCTGAAGGGTTTATCGCTATGGCTGGCGGGCCGGTGAGCCTCCTGCGCCGAACAGGTACCCTTCCTTATCCCGTGAACTTTTAGAGCCTTTTTTTATGCCTCTTCGGGAAGAATCGGGAAGAATCCAGTGCCTAAAATATCGATCCCTTTGCTTGTGGGAGAAAATACATGTTTGAAGCCTCAGCTAACCTAATATATAAGACAGAACGCTGCTTCTATTTTCTATTTCTCTTTTCTATTTTCCATGGCAGCACAAATCGTGACAATGGGTTATTTTCTTCACAGCATGACCTACCCCCTTTTCAGCCAATCACAGTTCTTCTACCTACCCGGTTTTGGCGTTTCCCAGAACCTCGGGTCGGCCTACCGTAGTAGAGAGAGCGCTGTGTTGTAAACGCTATGATAAACCAACCATCACGTACAGTGTAAATATCTCTGCGTTTGCAACTCTTATACACTCGACTGTCAATCACCATCAATATCTTTAATAACTAACTATTACTCGTTTGTCAGACAGGCTTGAGATTTTGTTCAACTGAAGAAAATTTTGTTCAACTGAAGTGTGAGGGAAATATATCGATGCGTAGGACATTGTCTATGCTGGATCAGGTAACCCTTTTCACATTTCAACTTCCAACTTCGTATTACATGTTATTCATGATTTAATACACTAGCCTACACCCGCACAAACGCACGCGCGCACAACACACACACACACACAGACACAGACAGACACACACACACTCCCACATACACAGACAGACATACACACACTCCCACATACACAGACAGACACACACACCCACACACATACACAGACAGACACACACACACACACACACACTCACACTTTACTCACACACATGACAATTTAGTCTCAACAATGGTCATCCACATAACGTTTATGCAAAATCACTCCAAAACATTTCCTCCGCTCTTATCAACACGTATACGTTGTATTCTTGATTCTTAGCACTCTCTGTCCCCTTATAACCCTTATAGCCCGGTCCTCGATGCCCAGATACCTATCACAGTTCGCAATACCCCTTCGACCCTCTCCCAGATCTCAGTACCCGGTTTTGGCGTGTTCGAGGTACCCCGGTTCGGCTTTTCCCGGTACAAGATACCAAGTGCGAGTTGGGTATCACAACCCCCTATTTTTATCTACTTTCCTGCATATTTATATTCCTTTAAATTATGCTTGCCCGTGATAATCTATGATAATATTGATGTTGTTCGCTTATGTGTAAGTGCGTCTGCGCTTGTGAGTATCCCAAAATGATAAAACTAATGGAAAGAGTAAAATAATAATAATAATAATAAAAAATAAAAAAAAACAATTCTTCACATTTAAATCTTCAAAAGCCTCTCAAAGCTCAACGTCGTCGTCAATTTGATTTGGTCTTTTATCACCTTTGTTAAATGGTTCTATAACTGATCACCTTGTTGCATATGGCCCTCTATTCGTCACCCTTGTATGCGGCAAAGGCGTGGGCAAATTTCGATGCATTTGAGACCACGCCCCATCACTATATTGCAACATCACTTTGCAAATTTTAATACTACATCTACAAGTACATCAGTTGAAAAAGAGAAAAAAAATAATCGCAGACTTTTCTTAATTCTCCAACAACCCGTGCGCACTGACCGGTCGTAAGCAGGTTCTGTAATATTTAAATTTACGGCCATAACATAATTATCAGATTCCGGATTTAAGATGTTTAAGTTTTTTCTCCTAGTACGTGAAATAACGAATAGTTACGAAGCCTTTATCACGTGGTACTTCTGCGACATAATGTACAAGTGTTCTCTTGTGTTCTTCGGAAAAAAGAACAATAACAATGCCTTACGCTACAGTTTTTTGGCCTACCTTGAGGCTCACAGGTTCCAAAAATGTTCAAAATCCGAACAAGAGCTACTCTAGGCCTTATATAATGTACTAGTGTTCTCTTGTGTTCTCCGAAAAAAGAACAATAACAATGCCTTACGCTACAGTTTTAGGCCAGCTACCTCGAGGCTCACAGGAGGTTCTATGAATGTTCAAAATCCGAATAAGAGCTACTCTAGGCCCTATATAAAGTACAAGTGTTCTCTTGTGTTCTCCGAAAAAAAAACAATAACAATGCCTTACGCTACAGTTTTTAGGCCTACCTAGAGGCTCGCATGTTCTAAGAACGTTCAAAATCCGAACAAGAGCTACTCTAGGCCTCTTTCCGTTCTTCAAAGTATTAGAAGGAAAAGCACATTTTCCCGCCATTTCAAGGAACGGGGAAATCAGGCGCGACCACAAGGGACTCCTTGGTGGCTCAGCGCATGTGGTGCCATCTACATGTAACAAAATTCACAAAACACTACACGGGGTCAGTGCATGAATCTGTAGTCACTGATTAATATACAAACCCTTAGTGATCGCCCGTGAACCCTGGGTGGGTATCTCCGTAGATTTTAGAGCAAGCAACAGACATTTTCCCTTTTGTCAAAAGCTGTTATTACCTTTAGACTTTTTACTTCCCTGTGCTGGACCGTATTTTCAACTTGGTCAACGGTAGATGAAGCAAAATATCTACTTTCGATCTGTTACAAGGTATAATGTGCAATACCAAGATCACACGTACACGTGCACACACACACACATTACATATATAATAAATATATATATATATATAATATATATATATATATATATATATATATATATATATATATATATATATATATATATATATATATATTACACACACACACATACATACATACATACATACACACACACACACACATATATATATATATATATATATA